ATGGAGGACCTGCGCCTAGACATGTCCACAACGCATGATGTAGTCAGCCGGATCCGGGCCGTATCCAGATCAGATGGAGGACCTGGGCTTAGACACGACCACAACGTATCCCTGAAGTGTCAGCAGAGATTGTGTCAACTAGACTCTCCCCTGTGAAGGCCTCGTCGACACGACAGCCATCGGCACTGCTCCTCAACAAACCCGTCTCCATACCGGCGTGACGAATCTGATCTTCAACCAGATGGAACTGGATAAATATTCTGAATGTTCCAATCCAATTTGACTTCTGATTTGTAATGCTACCTGAATCATAATCATACAGTTCGTTCGTGGGCTACAGGTGCCGCATTCCCCAGGTCAAGCCACTTTTGAACCAGAAACAGCGGCAGAAGCGCCTGACCTGGGCTACAGAGAAGCAGCACTGGACTGTTGCTCAGTTTTGCATGTCATTCGGAAATCAAGGTGCCAGAGTCTGGAGGAAGACTGGGGAGAAGGAAATGCCGAAATGCCTGAAGTCCAGTGTCAAGTACCCACAGTCAGTGATGGTCTGGGGTGCCATGTCAGCTGCTGGTGTTGGTGCACTGTATTTTATCAAGGGCAGGGTCAATGCAGCTAGCTATCAGGAGATTTTGGAGCACTTCATGCTTCCATCTGCTGAAAAGCTTTATGGAGATGAAGATTTCATTTTTCAGCATGACCTGGCACCTGCTCACAGTGCCAAAACCACTGGTAAATGGTTTACTGACCATGGTATTACTGTGCTCAATTGGCCTGCCAACTCTCCTGACCTGAACCCCATAGAGAATCTGTGGGATATTGTGAAGAGAAAGTTGAGAGACGCAAGACGCAACACTCTGGATGAGCTTAAGGCCGCTATCGAAGCATCCTGGGCCTCCATAACACCTCAGCAGTGCCACAGGCTGATTGCCTCCATGCCACGTCGCATTGAAGCAGTCATTTCTGCAAGAGGATTCCCGACCAAGTATAGACTATTGAGTGCATAACTGAACATAATTATTTGAAGGTTGACTTTTTTTTTTGTATTAAAAACACTTATTTTATTGGTCGGATGAAATATGCTAATTTCTTAAGACAGGAATTTTGGATTTTCATGAGTTGTATGCCAAAATCATCAGTATTAAAACAATAAAAGACCTGAAATATTTCAGTTGGTGTGCAATGAATCTAAAATATATGAAAGTTTAATTTTTATCATTGCATTATGGAAAATAATGAACTTTATCACAATATGCTAAGTTTTTTAGAAGGACCTGTATATATATATATATATATATATAAATTAACTAAATAACTTTTTACAACTTATTTAAGCTGGACAATGACACTATTTTCTTCTAAATCTGCTGTGCAGCCAAAACAAACTTTGTTGCATATTTTCCCTGTTATCACTGTAAAGCTGCTTTGAAACAATCTGTATTGTAAAAAGCGCTATATAAATAAAGGTGACTTGACTTAATGTAGTTTGAACTCATAGTCGACTCGAACTTGACTAAAGTGGACTTGAATCTTAACACTAACGTGTAGTCTGACATATTGTCTATCACACAATAATTTTGTAGTCAAAATTGTATTATGACACAGTGGCGGTGTACGAAATCACATACTATTTAGGTACGTTAGGTACACATTTTGACTTTGTGTTCATTTCCTCGTTCTGAGTTCCGCACATAAACAACTGAGAGCAATGTTTCTACAAAGGAATATGAAGCCAAATAAATATATGATTATGAAAATATATGTTCTGCATGTGTTTTCCATGCGGCTTGAGGTATTTTTTAAAACAATAAAGAATGAGAAATGCTTACATGAGAAATGTCTAAGCAGGTGGCATTCAGTTTATTACAAAAAAACTATAAATAATGCACATCTGCGCATTATTTAATTAATACCACTTTAGATTGCAGTCAGAAGTTATTACACGCACTTGATGATGGTTTCTGAGTACCAAACTTTGTTTTACTTTCTGAGGCGGATAGAGTACACAGCTTCGTTACTTGAGTAAAAGTACAGATACCCCTTGCTAAATTTTACTCAAGTACAAGTAAAAGTACTACAGTCAGATATCTACTTAAGTAAAAGTACTGAAGTACTTGAGTATCAAGAGTACAAGAGTCAATTTTCTAAATATTGTATTACTACTGCCACAGTCTCAAGTCAAGTCATCTTCATTTATATAGCGCTTTTAACAATGTAGATTGTTTCAAAGCAGCTTTACAGAGATAAACATAATTTAAGGTAACAGAGATTGTTTTGGCTTTATAGCGATTCTTGAATAATGTTATTTCCAGCTAAAGTTAGTTTTGATTGATTCACTTCCGTCGAAATGATCATTTGTTATTAAATCAGGGGCCGCTAAGACGACGCCGTTCTCTCTAAATAGACTTTAAACTGAACCTGTGATAAACGCTGATGCCGTTCACATGCGCGTTAAGAATTAAATCTATAGTTATGTGTGTTCGAATATATGTGTGCAGGTTTGTAATTCCCTACAAACCATGCCTACAAACTACCGGTACTTGTCTTTGCCTATAAATTTGATACAGAATTTTATTATCACTTCGGGGTAGGTACGCGAACCGTGCTTACATTTATGTACAGAAACGTCCTACATGGAGTTATGAAAAATTTTTATGTTAATACCTTTGATAATCTAAAAGGAATTGAAAGTTAATTCGTCATTTTCATCTTTTTACCATGTTGCTTTATTTAACATTTCTCACTTGCCCACAAGGCAATGCACAATGGCAACGCTCTGACAAACCCCCACATTTGAACCTGTTTCGTCTCTTATCTAAATCTGACCATGGAGTTGACTTTGGCTGAAAGCTGAAGGTGATTGCTGATAGGCTGTCCCAATCAGTGGCGCCTGCACAATCCAATCACGTTTGAGAGGGAAACAACAAATTGAGGGTTTCCGAGATTTTTCTTTTGTCCTTTTTTTTTTTTTTTTTTTTTAGAAGTAAGGGTACTCACAGTTATGGATAGAAATGTAGCGGAGTAAAGAGTACAATATTTGCCTCTCAAATGTACTTGAGTAAAGTCATGAGTAATCCCCAAAAATGATACTCGAGTAAAGTACAGATCCCTCAAAATTGTACTCAAGTCCTGTACTCAAGTAAATGTACTCCGTTATTGTCCGGCTCTGCTTAATTTACTGTTGTATACGTTGTGCAGCGGACGAGGTTAAAGCCAAATGATACTTACGATACACATACATGAGGAAAAATGTATTCTCAGTCAGTGCCAACTAATGCAGGCATGAATTAGCTGAAGGCAATCAATAATTTCGCGTTCAGTGTGAAAGCTCTATTTGTCAGCGATTAGCTTAGCACTCATGTGAAAGGCCTTAAAGTTGTTTTTAGCTTCTTAGTAAAAAGTAGGACTTGTTTAGGAGCTATTTACTAAGAATTGACAAGTCGAAGCTTAAGCCTTTTTTAACCTGTAGCCTATGTTCTGTTCGTTTCCAGTTTACACGTGTTTGGGGTCAGTAGTACGACCCCAAAAATGTATAGAGGGATTGTATTAAAAAAAAAGTAATATAACAAATATCTTTTTTCATTTACTTATCTATATGTTTATGCTGTGTCTTGGGGGATATGAATAACTTTACTGCAAAATTCCTCTACTCCATTAGCAATAGGCTACATATGAAAAAAAAAATATTTATGAAAAAAAAAAAACACTGTAACGATCAATTAAATGAGAGTTGTTCACTGGATATTGATCTAGGAGTTAGATGCAAAATTCTGTCATCTGCTGGTTAGAGAAAAGCTTGAAGGAATTACAGTTTTAGAAAATTACCATAAAATTACCATTAGAATTACCATAACCGTCCAGCAGAGGTCCATAGTCTACGTTCAGACTGTCAGTCCAAATCCGATTATTTGTGTATTCGATTGGAATCTGATCTAAAATTAATGTCCACACTGTGTACCGCAAATGTTCAAATCCGATTTGCAGATTTTCCGGAATATCTGCATTGGTTTCTATGGCAATGGGGTTGCGTAGGAATACGCCAAAAACCACAAGATGGATGGGTTTGCAATAGTGATGTTTTACATTTTACAACTTGGATGTTGTGCGCTGGACTACTGCGTCTTCTAAAGCAGCAGCAAAAATGAAGGAAGCTGGTTTGAGCGGCTCTATAAAACGCTGTTGTCTCCGCCGGTTTCAAAAATGTCCAGCTCTTTGCAACACAGCATTGTTTTTGCAGCGACTTTCAGTCAGTTTCTTAGAACAACATCTGACGTTCTACGTGGTGTGAGAAAGTCGCATAAACCATGTGAAATCCAATCTCAACAGTCAGACTGAAACAGATTTCCATAAAGTAAAAATCTGTCATTTCATGTGACTTTTGGCCGTTCAACTTTACACTGGCTAGATTTCAATCAGAAATGCATAAAAATCAGATTTGGACTGACAGTCTGAACATGGCCTGGCCATAGAGATCCATTCATTTGTCTAGATGTGACCAACTGCTCCTATAACAGCTGTTGTCATTTTGTGAATATATACATTAAACATTATAAAACATGAAAATCAGTACTTTTTTAAAAGTTGATTTCTTGTTTGAGGTCTTTTGAAGTGTTTCGTTTTTGCAATGTCACAAATTTGCCACTAAAAGATAAGACTTGATTGCAATTACATTTCAATTCAAAAATCAACTTTACAATTAAAAAAGAAAAAAAGCTATAAGCCAATAGAACAGGAAGTGAATACACATGTGCGCATGTTTGGGTAATTATTTCGTTCCATGTTGCATTTATGCTTTAGTACCAGGCCTTAATTTATGTGTGGAAATTCAGATTTGAGAAATAAAATAAACTAACTTTTTCCTCTCCCATTCATTTTCAGACCCAAAACACGAGTGTTTGCAGGAATTTTTTTTTTTTTTTTTTCACTAAACAAGCTTTATTTGGTGATTAACAGGGAAACCATCTCGTATGAAAAAAAAAGCACTGAATTGAAAGTAAAGAATGTTATGCAAAATCATCTCGACACGAATGACTAGCGCCAAGGAGACCGAGGATACCGGGATTGGAAGTTTTGGCAGGCTTCGCTGGAGGCTTCGGCAGTCCGGCTGCAGGGATACAGATAGTCCGCTTTATACAGTCCAGTAAGTCTCAGATATACAGCACAAAACATTCAAAGCATGAATAGCAAGTGAATTCTATTTGAAGTATTCATCATCTTTATTAATTTTGTAAAGCCATCCTGTGCTTGGAACTGTGCTATATGGGCTAAATTTAGTGTATGATACAATTATAAAGTAACAGTTAAAAAAAAAAAAAAAAAAAAAAAAGACCCAAAAACCACAACAGAAGTCTTTCTAAGTTTCATGGTTAGTTCAATGTGTTACTTGCGGTTTCTTAATTATTTGTGAAATTTACTACCAAGCAAAGTGTCTTCACTGTTTCTTTTGGGAAACCTCTAGCATCCATCATTAATTGAAACTCACTGAAAACAGGCGGCACACACACGTGCCCACAGGGATATGAACAGCATATGTGTCCTCCAGAGCAGTCTCTGTCAGAAGTGCATCCTCGACGGGCCAGCGCGCCCATCAGCTTGGCCGGACACTGACCGGACACTACAGAAGAGGATTCAGAAGGATTGTTAGGTGAGACCAGGGAGTGCTGGAATAGTTTCAGCATTAGTAAATTAAGGGTCTTCCTACTGTATATGGCACTGAACTGTTATATTTGCACCCTTTTCTGATTTCTCGATTAGACGAATTTTACAACACTGGAACGCATTTTTAGCACTCGCCGCCCAGACAGCAACATGGTGCCCAGATCCGGCCCACATCTGGTACACGTGGCGCTTTTCCACTGCATGGTACAGCCCCCTTTGAATAGTACCACCTCTGTTGAGTTTGCAAGCGTACCGATACTAAAATGTGACGAGAAAACACTACAGATCACTGATTGGTCAGAGAGAGATTTGTCACTACGAGCGGCATTGGATTTGCAACACAAGACACCAAACCAACTAGATTTCAATAGTCAGCAACAGCAGTATTATTTGTTTGCACAATTCTTAAACTCGCTTGAAAAAAAAAAAAATATATATATATATAAAATAAATGTCTGAATCGCGGTGACTGGTCAGACGTTCGTTGGTAGCTGAGGAGCGGATCCAGCGAGAGATGAAAAATAATGAAAAAGTTCTTCAGCAACTATAACAATCAGCCTAAAAATCCCTCCCACTTTAAAGCGGTACTAAACTGCAGTGGAAAAGCGCCAATGGTGCCAACACTATGCTGCTGTCTGGGTATGGTGGCAGCTCTCAAACAGGGATGCATTTCCCAAAGCCAACTATGGTTGCAAGTTCTGTCATAAACAATAAAGTTCAATGAAAATTGCGATCATAGTTGGCCAACGATGCTTTTGGGAAACACACCCCAGGTTGTAGCCTACAGCTTTTAGCAGCAATGTGGATTGATATAATTGGCAGAGTGGTGCGCTGCAAATTAAAACAAGAGAACCAATCAAAAGCATTAGAATAGCTTTGGTAACTTTACCAAAGCACCTTTAAATGGCAGGAGGCAGCATGCACATCAAAAACAGGCAAAGCAACGGATCAATATTCAACATAGGCTATCCAAGCCTTCTTTTTTTTTACAGAAAATATTCAGATGGAACCCCCTTTGTAATTGTTCACATTGTCATGAGTAACTTAAATAGCCTAGGCATACTCATTTCTCTGTAAGGTTACATTACACTTAATTTACACAACTCAGTTACATTTAACTAATTATTCCCCAACACTGAACATAAATAAAATGCTGATAGAAGACATGGAGTTGATGTTGTTCATAAGTTTACTATGGTGTAAAAAAAATAAAAAACCTACTTTGTAAGGCACTCATTTATATTTTTCTTTGGGCTGTATAATAAAGTTTCAAAGATCTTCTTACCTGCGACTCCAGCGTGTGCTGTGCTCAAACATACAGACAGGCACAATAAAACAACACTCAACGAGCAGTACACTCGAGCTGTCATCATCTCGACCTGCGATCTCACAATGAGCTCTGCTGGAAAACAGCGGAATTAGTCAGTCAGGACGCACACAAAACTAGACGGGAAACATGTGCTACTGAATCCCGCAACAAAAACCGCTGTATAAAGGTTTTTTGTAAACGCGTTTTAAAGATTAAAGAGGTCTAGGCAACTCCAACCCTGATCAAACTCACCTGCCTGTAGCTATAGTAGGCTAATCTTGAAGACCTTGATTGGCTTGTTCAGGTGTGTTTGATTAGGTTTGGAGGAGATGAATGATGAATTCTCACACCGTAGCCTATGTTGTAATCACCGTGATTACATTTACATTTACATTACATTTAGTCATTTAGCAGACGCTTTTATCCAAAGCGACTTACAACTGAGAACTAAACCAAGCGAGTCATCGTGAAGAGGCAAAAGCAACGCAAGAAGTGCTCAAAATACAAAGTTCAGACATAGCTCGGAGTAGCATAAGCCAGGCAAGCGAGGATTTAGAGGAAAGGATTTTTTTTTTTTTTTTTTTTTATGTTAAGTGCTCCCGGAAAAGATGAGTTTTCAGTTGTCTTTTGAATGTTGTCAGGGATTCTGCATTCCAGATGAGGGTGGGGAGATCATTCCACCAGCATGGAACTGTGAATGAGATTAGATGATGATTGAGCATTTCTATGGCAAAACCATCGCCAAAATGACACAGCATAGACAGATAATAATCCTCCTGGACAGTGATTTTTGGGGTAAAAGGCCCTGCTGTTAGGGCCAAAGGCACAGTAATTAACATGATAATAAACAGCTGGTTGACTTTTCCATTTGTTGACATGACATGGTTAGATTCAGATGGTAAATATCAAATATAATGTTGGCTGTCCACCTTAGAGATAGGCCTAATCATCATATTTATAATGAAACCATCATATTTAAAGATATGATATTATAATAGTCACCTTTATTAATATAGCGCTGTTTACAATACAGATTGTTTCAATCATTGTTGTTTACAGTGATAGCAGGAAATTAATACAAAAAAAGTTTGTGTTGACTGTACAGCAGATAGCGTCATAGTCAAAATAGTGTCAAAATAGTGTCAGTCCAGCTAAAGTAAGTTCAGTGATGGTACATTTCTGTTGAAAAAAGTTAATAAATTAGTTGATTTATCTATACAGCCTCTCTGGAGAAAACGTCTCGGGTTATGACTATAACCCTTGTTCCCTGAGAAGGGAACGAGACACTGCGTCGAGAATCGACACTTTGGGGACGCTCCCTAAGCGTGCGCCTCTGAAGTATGAATGAAACTAATCCAATCCTGATTGGTGTTGCGTCTAGACGTAACATTTGACGGCATACCCGGAAGTATAAAAGTGACACTGTCACAACACACACTAGCCTCGCGATGAAGCAAGACGCTCCAAGGCCTCAAGGGGCGTGGCAGAACGACGCAGTGTCTCGTTCCCTTCTCAGGGAACAAGGGTTATAGTCATAACCCGAGACGTTCCCTTTCGAGGGAACTCTACACTGCGTCGAGAATCGACACTTTGGGGAACGAGTGCCCACTAGGCCACGCACCGAATAGGCCTGTCCCGGAGTGAAACTGTTTAGGCACTCAGCAAGGACTGAGCACGTGTGTGCCAGGCGTACTAGGAAGGTGGAACCTAATAAAAGTATGTGGAGTAGCCCAACCGGCTGCCTCACAGATCTCCTGTAGAGGAACTCCTGAAAGAAGGGCCCTAGAAGAAGCCATGCTTCTAGTTGAGTGAGCCCCCACGGCTAAAGGTGAAGGCAAATTGCGCACCTTGTAAGCCTCAGTAATAGCCTGAACAATCCAAAAACTAATAGTTTGCTTGGATGCCGGGAGCCCCTTCTTAGGTGACCCAAAACATACTAATAATTGGTCCGACCTTCTCCAAGAAGAGGACCTCTCAAGGTACACGCTCAAAGCTCTGACGGGGCAGAGCAAATTAAACTTCTCTTCTTCTGCCGACACATGAGGTGGAGGATGGAATGCCTGAAGAACTGTAGACCGAGCCGTATTCGATACTTTAGGCACGTAGCCCGGACTCGGGTGCAAAAAAGCTTTACTCTGCCAGGGGCAAACTCCAAGCAAGCTGGTGTACCAGGGCTTGGAGATCTCCCACCCTCTTAAGTGAGGTAATAGCTAAGAGAAAAAACATTTTCAGCGTTAAGTCCTTAGGCGAAGCCCGCTGTAGAGGTTCGAAGGGGGCCAGGGTCAACCCTTCCAGAACTATTGCCAGGTCCCAGGCAGGAACCCTGGACCTGGTTGCCAGTCTCATCCTCCAAGTACCACGGAGAAAACAAATGACCAACTGGTGCCTCCCCAGAGGCCCATCACTTAAAGGTGAGTGGAAAGCCGCAATGGCAGCCACGTACACCTTAAGCGTGGAAGGGGAGAGACCCGCAGAGAAACGATCTTGAAGAAACTCCAGAACTGAAGCCACCGGGCAGTTAACTGGGTCCAACTCATGTTCTCTACACCAAGTGAAAACACATTCCACTTGAGGCCATATAATCTCCTAGTAGATGGAGCCCTAGAGCTAAGTATGGTTTCAACTACTCCAGCTGATAGACCAGCATTTAGGTACTGAACCCCCTCAGAGGCCAGACCCACAGCTTCCACAGCTCTGGGTGAGGGTGGAAGACTGTGCCCTCTGCCTGAGACAACAGATCCCTCCTCAGAGGAATCTGCCATGGCGGAGCTATCAGGAGTGATATAATGTCTGAAAACCATACTCGGGTCGGCCACCTCGGGGCAACCAGAAGTAGACTGATGCCCTCTAGACGGACCCTCTCCAGGACTCCCGGGAGCAGAGCGATCGGGGGAAGTGCGTACAGGCGAAGCCTCGGCCAGGCCTGTACCATGGCATCCAACCCCAGTGGGGCTGGATGTGTGAAGGAGAACCAAAGTGGACAGTGGGACGTCTCTCGAGACACAAACAGATCCACTTCCAATGGTCCAAACCTCTCCCATACTGACTTCACCACATCAGGATGAAGTCTAAATTCCCCGGGCCTCAGCCCCTGCCTCGACAGGATGTCTGCTCCCTGATTCTGAACCCCCGGAATATACATTGCTCTGATAGAGAGTATTTTCCCCTGGGACCAAAGAATGATCTGATGCGCCAGTCTGCACAGAGGGCGCGATCTGAGTCCCCCTTGTTGGTTCAGATAAGCTACCACAGACGTATTGTCTGATCGTACTAAGACATGGTAACCATTAATGTCTGGGAGGAAGCTCCTCAAAGCCCTGAACACAGCCATCATCTCTAGACAGTTTATGTGCCAAGAATGATGATGGTCCTGCCACAGACCCCTGGCAAAGCGGCCGTCCATGACCGCGCCCCAACCAGTGAGGGAGGCGACTGTCGAAACGGTTTTCCGGCGACATGACGCTCCCAGCACTGGCCTGTGGGATAGGAACCAAGGTTTCTTCCAAATTACCAGAGAACGAAGGCATCTGCGCGTAACTCTGACTATACGGAACAGATTCCCCTTGAGGGAAAAAACCCTTGGCTCTCAGCCACCACTGAAGGGGGCCTCATGTGTAGAAGGCCCAAATGTATAATGTTGGATGCCGCTATCATGAGGCCCAGCAGTTTTGAAACTGCTTTACAGTGATGGCCTGGCCTAGCTTTATCCCGGACACCATGGCCAGGATGGATTCGATACGAGCGGGAGACATACGTGCCTGCATTGTAACCGAATTCCATTTCATGCCCAGAAGAGCAGTCTTCTGAGCTGGTTTCAACACATAGTGTTGAGTCTCAACCCCCGATTCTAATCTTGACCAAGGATGACATCTCAATGCCGAACTGCCATTCCTCGAGACTGGGCCAATAAGAGCCAGTCGTCGAAGTAATTCATTGTACGGATGCCCTGAAGCCTCAGTGGAGCCAGAGTCGCATCCATAAACCTACACATGAACATGTGGGGAGAGAGTGCTAGGCCGAACGGAAGAACCCGATCTAAGAGAACCAGCCTCTCGAGACTGGCCTCTGGTGGTTTCCGAGCACCCTTCTCGACTGCCTGAAGCGTAAGACCGGCAGGCTGTAGTCGATACGGTTTTCGTAACCATAACTGATGCTCGTTTTTTTATTTTTCGAGGAAAAACGACGCATAGTGCGTTCGCTGGAAAATGATGCGGCCCGAAGCGTCATAGACGGCGGGCAATACACATCGTTTCCGGGCCCCGCTGCAAGAACCACATCCGATCCAGCCTCTCGAGACTGGTCTCTGGTGGTTTCCGAGCACCCTTCTCGACTGCCTGAAGCGGAAGACCGGCAGGCTGTAGTCGATACGGTTTTCGTAACCATAACTGATGCTCGTTTTTTCATTTTTCGAGGAAAAACGACGCATAGTGCGTTCGCTGGAAAATGATGCGGCCCGAAGCGTCATAGACGGCGGGCAATACACATCGTTTCCGGGCCCCGCTGCAAGAACCACATCCGATCCAGCCTCTCGAGACTGGTCTCTGGTGGTTTCCGAGCACCCTTCTCGACTGCCTGAAGCGGAAGACCGGCAGGCTGTAGTCGATACGGTTTTCGTGACCATAACTGATGCTCGTCTTTTATTTTTCGAGGACAGACGACGCAGAGTGCGTTCCCTGGAAAATGATGCGGCCCAAAGCGTCATAGACGGCGGGCAATACGCATCGTTTCCGGGCCCCGCTGCAAGAAGAACATCGGTTGCCCTGCAACTTAGTGGACAGCCCCAACATTTAGATCTACCATGCCAAACCAGTCCTCGGATCTGATTTGGTTTCCGATAATGGAAATTGTAAGCCTTTTGAACCTGGATCTCCTCAAAGAACAAGTCAATAGCCTTAGATCTAAAATTGGCCTCAGTCCAACATCCTCCTTTGGAACTAAAAAGTACCGGCTGTAACAACTGGACTTTCTATCTGGTAGGGGAACACTCTCTATGGCCCCTTAACTCCAGTAGAGTCTGTACCTCTTGTTCCATAACCCGAGCCTGTTCTGGAACCCCTGCGGTCGGTACGACCCCAACAAAGCTGGGAGGTCGGTAACCGAACTGCAGTCCGTACCCATATTTAAAAATATTCAGGACCCATAGAGATAATTGGAAGGCGTTGCCATTCT